CCCCAGCAGAGCTCCAGGCCCCCCCCCCGCAGCCCCCCCGGCCCCGCGCCGCCCTGCAGCGCCAAACCACGTGGGCCGGGCGCAGCCTTCGGGACCCCCCCGCAGCCCCCAGGTTGGTGAAGAGCGGCAGCCTCAGCTTCCCCCGAGCCGAAGCGCCCACCCTGGAAGCCGGAGTCGGGCAGAGTGAGCGGGGCCGGGCCGGGCGGGGGGGGGGGTCGGGGGGACACGGAGCCCCTCCTCATCGCCGCCCCCCCTCCAAGCAGTGCTGCGAGCCCTGGGCGCCCCGGACCCCCCCCCGGCGCGGGACGCGGCGTCGGCGGAGGGCAGCCTGTCTGACGTCAGCTTCGCCACGGATGAGAGCGAGAGGGCGGACGAGGGGGGGCCGGGGGGCTCCGGGCGGGAGGAGGAGAGCGGCGGGACCCCCAGGAGGGGGCTGGCGGCCAAACTGCAGCAGCTTTTGTCCCCGGGGAGGAAACCCTCGGCCCGGCACGCGGCCGAGCGGCGCGGCGGCCACCGGGAGCGGAGCGAAGCGGGGGGGGGCGGCACCGAGCAGCGCGAGGCCCCCCAGCGCCGCAGCCCCATGGAGACCCTGCTGCACCCCAGGGAGAGACCCGGCTCCACCGCCTCCGAGGTACCGCGCAGTGCTGGGCCCCGCGGCCCCCGTCACCACCACCAGCACCACAACCACCACAACCACCAGCACCACAACCACCACAACCACCAGCACCACCACAACCACCAGCACCACCAGCACCACCACAACCACCAGCACCACCACAACCACCAGCACCACCACAACCAGCACCACCAGCACCACCAGCACCACCACAACCACCAGCACCAGCACCACCAGCATCACCAACAACACCTCCACCATCACCAGCACCACCAGCATCACCTCCACCATCACCACCACCACCAGCATCACCAACAACACCTCCGCCATCACAACCACCACCAGCATCACCACCACCAGCACCACCACAACCACCATCACCAGCACCACCAGCATCACCTCCACCATCACAACCACCACCAGCATCACCACCAGCATCACCAGCATCACCATCACCTCCACCACCCTCACCACCACCATCACAACCACCACCAGCATCACCACCATCACCACCATCA